TCTGACTAATCTAGGCACCTCATATAAGTGGAATCATCATTAGTAGCCCTTTTGTGACTGGGTTATTTCACTTAGCATATGCCCTCAAGATCTATTCATGCCGTAGTATGTGTCAGAATGTCCTTCCTTTTTAAGGCTAAATAATATACCATTGCATGTATATACCACATTGTGTTGAACCACTCATTTACTGAAGGACATATGGGTTGCTTCCACCTTTTAGCTATTGTGAATAATGCTTCTATGAACACAGGTGTACATATATCTCTTCATCACTCTACTTTCAAATCTTCTGTCTTAGTCTGCTCAGGTTGTCATAACAAAATATCATAGACTAAATGGCTTGAACAGAAATTTTTGCTGGAGGCTGGGAAATCCAAGATCAAGATTTAGTCGATTGCATTCCTGGAGAAGACTCTTTATCTGGCTTGTAAATGGCCAGGGGTAACAGGGGAGAAGGTGAGGGAGACGTGGGGAAAAGAGAGAGAGAGAGAGCATGCTGTGCTGTCTCTTCTTATAAGGGCATTAATTCCTCAGGACCTCATCTAAACCCAATAACCTTCTTTTTTTAACTTCCTTTATTTTTTAAATTTTCTATTTTCTATTTTATTTTTGGGGGACTTAATTAGGTTTTTATTTATTTATCTATTTTAATGGGGGTACTAAGGAACGAACCTCTTAAAGGCTTCATATATCATCATACTGAGGATTAGGGCTTCAACATACAAATTGGGGGGGAGCACAAACATTGAGTCCACAGTATGCTAAAATGTGGAACTGCTGAATAAGATGGCAATTCTCTTTGTAACTTTTTGAAAAAACACCATACTAGTGTTTTTCACAGTGGCCGTACCATTTTACATTCCCATTTACAGTATACAGGGTTCTGATTTTTCTATTTCCTTGGCAACACTTGTTATTTGATGTTTATGTGATAGTAGCCATTCTAATGCATATGAGGTGAGCAGTAAAATTTTTAAAAGAATTAAATCTTACTTTAAAGCTAATATACAAAATAGAAAGCAGAATTGCTATGATTTTAAAGCAACAAACCTAGAACAATTTTAGTATTGCCTTCCTGTGACAACCTCTGAGAGGTTCCACTGTTTGAAGAAAAATCTTAGACAACAGAGTTTATGTTAGGGGAGGGGAATGGTTCAAGATGGATATAGAAAAATTGCTATTCATAGGTATCTCATTCAGTTTTCCTAGTTCAAATTTAAAATTTCCTAAAATATAGGATATAAGAAAAAAATCCTACTGGGAAAATGTGAAGTGTGATTCAACCAGGAAGTGAACATCACGTTGGAGGTGTACTTGGAAAAATATATTGAGTTTTGACTTCAAGTTTCTAGAAACTGGTGGAATCACACATGTGAATATTGATGCATTTTTATTTTGGTTCTTGTAAATTTGCTTCTTTGTCTTGTAGGGGTGGAGAAGACTGCTCTGACAAAGTGATATTGCACCTAATAGTTTACAGTTCTCTCTCTCCAACCCACCACCCCCATCCCAGATATATTTTTGTAATAATGAAAGCTTCAGGAGTAAGGGCCAAGTCCATTATGAACTGTCCCACCACCAACATCTAACAGACTACTTGGCACACAGGAGGAATTCAATAAATGATGACAAAGAGAAATAGGAAGAGCAGAAAACAAAAAATTAGAACAGTGGTTAAAGAGAAGGGAAATGGTAATTATCACAATGTAAGCAAGAATTTTGTAAACATGGGACATATCTTGTTCATTGATGTGTATATCATATAGCACACAGCTTTATATATATCAGGTTGGCTGACCTGAACTAAATTGCTCTACATATGGTATAAAAGAAAGATTGCTATTCTGGAAATCAGCATAAGATTTCAATCCCCAAAAGACCACTAATAACAAAATTAAAATATTAGATGACCCACCCCAAATTTTAAATTCCATTTACTTTTTTGTTAAATATGGAAATGAATAAACCATTACTAGAAATATACTGTTACAAAGCACATGAAGTATTGTGAGAAATAGAAAATAATAATAGTTAGGCAATGGTTATTCAATTAATGAGACTGATATCAGATAGAAATTCAATGGTGACCTTGATATTAATTATGTAAGTTACAAACCTTGGGAAATAAAAATTGATAGAGATACTCAAGAAAGAAAAGAATTTACTAGTGGACAGCTAATAGCATCCCAGATCTAGGAGGATAAAAACTGAAAAGGTATTAGAATGTGCTTTGATAGACTGAGGCTTTTTATGAGACATCTGTTATGGACAGAATTGTGTCCACACCCCCCCAACCCCCACCAAATCACATTTTGAAGTCCTAAACTACAGTGTGATTACATTTAGAGATAGAATCTTTAGGGGGATCATCTAAGTTACATGAAGTGCTAAGGGTGAAGGCCTCATGGAATAGAACAGGTGTCCCTATTAGAAGAAACACCAGAGCTTGCTCGCTCTCCTTCTCCCTCTCTCTCCCTCCCTCTCTCTCCCTCTCTCTCCCTCCCTCTCTCTCCCTCTCCAACAAACCTTTAGGAAAACTAACAGAGAGAGAGAGAAAGAGAGAGAGAGAGAAAGAGAGAGAGAGAGAGAAACTCACAGGAGGACACCTGAGAAAGCAGCCATCTACAAGTGAGGAAGAAGGCCTCACGAGTAACCAAACCTGATGGCACCCTGATTTTGGACTTCCAGCCTCCAAAACTGTAAGAAAATAAATTTATGTTGTTTAAGGTACCCAGTCTGTGGTATTTCATTAAGGCAGCCTGAGGAGACTAATATAAATATCTAAGGACAAAAAGTAAATTGTCCCTTCTCTACTAACCTGAACTCACAAAGTGACCATAAGAATGTTTTAAAAAAAATGACAAATATCTTCTCTTCAGGCCACTGCACACAAAGATTAATTTTTACAACTTAAAATAGTTGTAATTATGATTAAATCTGAGCTTTGGAAGTATGTGGGATAATTACACTGTATGTCCAAATCTAATAAAAGTAAGTTTAAAAAAACAGAAGTTCAACCTTTTTTTGTAAATTTTCCATTCTCCAGTCCTCAATTAAAATAAAACTCAAAGAGAAAGCATTAATCAATAAAACAAAATCAAAATGACCTGAGTCCCTCAGAGTTGACCTGTGACTGCAATGAGAGGGATTGCGAGCCAATTTTCAAATTGAAGAGGTAAGAACCAGCGGTTATAAAGTTTTCTCATGTCCTTCAAAATTCGAAATTTAAATAGAACACTAACACTCTCACTTAAGATTAGGTAAGGCTGATGACTTGAAGAGTGTATGTCAAAATAAGTTCATGAAAATACCCACTGGAAGATATAGACAGATATAGGTATAAACATATAAATTTACATATACATACACTTATATAAGTACATATGTATTTATATATAACACAAGAAAACGTACAGTATCTTGTTATAACGATGTCCAAGTATTATAAGAAATGCAGAAGCCATAAAGTTTTATCATATTAAAAAAACTAAGATTTCTGACACAGTCAAAGACACTATAAGCAGAGTTAATGTACAAATAAGGAATACTTTCAATTTATAGAGTAAAAGGGAATAATCCATAAAATATGAAGAATTTCTACAAACCAATAACATGAAAAGTTATCGAGAATAAATAATGGATTCAATAAGTAATTAAGAAAGAAGAAATGTAAATGAATAAACATTAAAAACCAACAAAACTATCTTATAGCAACAAAATATAGATTGAAACAATTATGCACAATGATCAAAAGTCTAGAATCATTTTGAATCCATTTCTTTATCATCTTAAAAATAATTAACCTACCTGGGCCACTTTAATTGAATTCTGGGTAGAGCCACCAGCATGATATTCAACTTTGAATTTTTTTACAAGTTCATCAAACCTAAAAGGAAATCACAGTAGAAAAAAGCAGGTTAGAATTTGTCATTTGTCACAATGCAAACTTTTCTGACTAGAAGTGCATTAAATCACTTTTTGAATTACATGTTAAATAAATGAATTAAAATATTGTATGAAAAACTTCGCTAAATTTCCATACTTAATTTTTTTCACAAATGTACAACTGTAAGATTTTAAAATATATAAGCTGACTGGGGCAGGGAGAGGGTGGGTATAAGCTCCATGGTAGAATGGGTGCCTAGCATGCATGAGATCCTGGGTTCAATCCCTAGTACTTCCACCATCACCACCAATTATATATATATATAGTCAGGCTGTCCATAATTCACCATTAAATTAACAAAAGGTAAAAATAAAAGTTTATAAATTATTGTTTTGCAATGTATATTTTCCTATATCAAGTATTAAACTCTAGAATCCTTACAAATGTGTATTTTAGTAAGTTCTAAAAGTTTTAGATATCATAAATGCTATTGGTTTATAATTTTAAAAATAGAAATTACACTGGGTTGCATGATTCTAGGCAAACTGCTTGGTGACAGTTTCTGTGCCAAATAAAGGGGAAGAGAGAGGTGATTTAAAGCTTTGATACTTTATTACTTTGGCATCTTACAAAGCTACAGAACTTCTTTCCAGGAAAATACAGACACTCACTACACATAAAACTTTTCATAAAAGATGATCCATGTAAACATCACACACCCAGCCAAAGGTCTATGGTTACCTATTCAAATAAGTCTCAAATTAGATGGCATTTAATAATCTAGATCACAAATCAAAATTCCCAACTACACGTCTCTAACATGTTAGATGTTGTGGGAGATATCCAAAGGGCATAGGTATAGGTATAACTTTAATTTAAAAGGCTTTACAAGCTTTGGGGGACAAAAGGATGAATACACAAAAAAGAGAAAATCAGAAAATAACAAGTTATCAAATAATAAGATATATGCAATGTAGACAGCAAGTGCTACAGAAAGTCAATCAAAGAAGAAAGAAACTGGGATATTAGCAGAATACTCAAGGAAGATTTCAGTCTTTTTCCAAAATTTAAAATTTTAAGTACAGAAGAAGATCCTTTTACACAAATGAAACAGTTCATAGAACTTCATAATATAAAAAGAGATAAAAGAGATAATTGCATTAGGAGTAGGAAAATGGAGTTATTATACCCAGTTTCTAACAGCCTTGGGATTCAACCTATAAAACCCTGAGATGCCAATAAACACAATTAGCAAATCTTTCCAAAATACTGACAGCAGTATTTGTGTAACACTAATAATAATGTCATACTAACAGGAGAGAGGGCAAAGTACATAGTTCCAGATGCAGATAGGTGGGCAGTTATGGTAATTTAGGAAATGTTCTCTTCTAATTACTTTCTGAGCTATGTATCAGCGAAAAGTGATATTAGGGATTGGAGAAAGGGAGAGTCAGTGGATAAAGAAAAAACAGAGTGACCAATTGCTATGTTCCTTTGAGGTCCCTTCACTTTCAAAAGCCAATTCTTCCAAAAAGATATGTTGCTCCCAGAACCTGTGACTGTAAACTGAAAAAAAGTGTCTTTGTAGATATAATTAAGTTGAGGATCTTGCCACAAGATCCTCCCTCCTAAGTCCAATGCCAGGATCTTCTTAAAACAGATAGAAGAATGACAGACAGAAGACCAAGTGAAGACGGAGGCTGAGACCACGGTGATGTGGCCATAAGCCAAGGAAGCCAAGGAATGCCAATGCCAACCAAAAGCTTAGGTTGTTTGTTTTCAATTTTAGAATCTATGCAGAGATTAAACATTTAACATATAATTATAGTTGCAAAACAGCATGTAAAAACATTATATATAACACTGACATTTTGAAGATGGGAGAGTTAAGAGATGAAAAATTTTCTTATTCTCATTCCTTCAACTTAAAAGAGTCCCCAGATATCTCAAATGTTAATAGTCAACTTTAAAAAAAAAAAGGTTTTAAGTATGTTGTTTAAAGTAATAAAGTCAATCAGTAAATAATTAAAAATATATAAAATAACAGATGATGAAGAAGGGAAAAGAAAAAACACAGTCTAAGCGCATTACATTCTTCAGTTCACAGATGAATCAATGGATATATAAATCTGTTAATTAAAAAAATGGGGCATAACTACATTATTTATAATAGTAAACTAAATAACAAACTACAGCTCTAAGGAATGAAGAAGGGAAGGTTTTTACATTTTTTTTTAGTTTGTTTTTGTTCAGTTATATTTTTTATACATTTCTTAAGGGTATCTAAAATAAATATGCAATTTAAAAATAGTTCTAAAGTGAACACCAATGTTACCACCACAACCATCACCACTACTGTAGATGGATGGATGGATGGATAGATAGACATACAGACAGACAGACAGATAGACAGATATATACGCTTGACCATTTTTAGGCCCTTTATTCTGATTCACTGATCCATATGTCTACCCCTACAGAATTTCCATTTGGTCTTAGTTACTATTGCTTTGTAGGTCTGAAGGAAAGGACAAGTGCCCTCACCATGATCTTCATGAGTGTTTTGACTATTCTTGGTCTTGTTGTACCTCCACATAAATGCACAACTAGATCTCAATTTCCAAAAAAAAAAAACTTCTTGGGATTTTGACTAGGATTGCATTCATTATATACACATTCATGTACATACATACAAGGAAAAGTGATATCCTTCCAATATTAAATTGTCCAATCCATGATCACACCATATACTATAGTATATTTATTTAGGCGTTTAATATCTCTTAAATAGTTTCATAATTTTTGTCATAAATCCTGATCATGTTTTACTAGTCACAACTTCATACTTTCTATGTTTTAACACTAATGTAAGTGATATTGTTTAAAATTCACATTTATCTGTTGCTGGTATTTAGAAATACAATTCTTTTATCTTTTTTACCTAGCCAACTTGCTAACATCTCTAATTAGTAGCAATGATGTTTCTATATTTTTGCCATACATACATAGCCATCATTGTGAATATGGAAAAAATTTTTTTTCTCCTCTTTTCTTGTCTGAGTGCAGACTAGGACCTCCACCACAGCATTCATAGAGAATAAAGAGCAGAGGATGACAAGAGGCAGACTTAGTCCTATTCCAAATTTTGCCTGATGAATCCTGATGAATGGCAGGGTAGGTCCACTTTACAAAACTGGAAGTCTTAAAGAAAAATGTTTAATTTTTCACTTTGATTTATTTTTACTGGGTGTATGCATTGATTCTACTAAAAAGTTAAATATAAATGTTATAGATCTCTATCTGCTGCTAGATATTTTCCATATTTCAATTTATAAGTATTAAGTTACCAAAACATAAGCACAATATAATACAAGAAAATTACAATATACATGTGTACATTGCAAATAAAATTACCCAATATACATGTGTACTGAAAAGGACCTGGAAGAGTACAACCAAGTTGTTAACAGTGGTTAGCTCCAAAGTAGGAGCAATTATGGATTCTACATACATTTGTTTTCATTATCTGTATAATAAGCATATAAATGTTTGGTAATGAAAACACCTTTAAAATCTACTTCATTTTATAATGGAAGAACATAGGAATTTTCCATAAATTATGTAAAAAGAACTACATATAGAACAAAACACACAGCAGAGAAGTAAGTGATTCTGACTGAAAGAGGCAGGGAAAGTTTAACATTTTAACTGCAATTTGACAGATTAAGGGAGAAACAATTTTCAGAGCTGAGGGTAAAATAAACACCATAACATATTCAGAGAAACAAGTTACACATAGACTAAAATGTAGGTCAAAATCAAAGTAGTAAAAACTGACAAAGAAAAGGTAACTCTCTCTGCCAGGCTAATAAATTCAAGAGGCAATTAGGAATTATTAAAATCTGTTTACTAATAGTAGGAAAGGCAGATTTTTTAATTTTTAAATGATGAGAGCACTCCTCTGAGGACAAGAGAGAATAAGGAGAGGCAGGTTATCTGCCTATGGAATAGTTCATACCAAAGATCAGATGCTAAGCTAAGGGGCCAGAGGGACGTGATAAAGCTAAGGAATCATTTCTGAAGTTGAAGGTATAGCATGTGATAAATAACTAGAAGTGGAAGATGTGGCAGAGGAAAAACAATTCTGAAACTTCTGGCTTGGTTAAGTGTTGGGATGGTGTTAGGAAAGGAAATACTGGAGAGAAGAAAAATCACATGGAGAAAAGGGAACTCCTAAATAGTTGACTATCACACCTAGAAACAACTGTTTAGAGAAACGACTGCATGGGGCAAGATTTGTTTTCTTTAATCTCTTGCATGGATTGGGCATATTTTTTCCTATAGACTTCTCTAGCTGCTAAAAATCTGTTTGCCTACAAATGGTCTACTGTTATCTATGTCAAAATTATCAATGTACCCCGTGGAAAATACTACAAAAAGGTGAAGGATTGTGTATCTTTAATGAAAGAACAAAAAATTTCAGGCTAAAACATTAATAAATCTCAAAACAATGATTATATCTCTATAGGGATGTAATCAATTACATAAAAACCTTTAATATTTTCTAAGTTGTTTAGTGATGGAAGAGTTTATGATATCTTTAAATTCTATGGGGAACTTCTATATATTTCCACTCTGTGATTATTTTTTTTTCCCTACAGGGAGTGATGTGCAGCAATTTTATTACTTTATAGACACATTCTTACTTTTCCCTTCTGGTTGACCTTCTTTGTCTGAATGGAGTGAGCATATCAAACACCTCAATCAAAAGAGAGAACTGAAAGAACAGTGGCTGATCCATTTTCCTACCGGTCATCTATTTGTGAAGTCCAAATTAATAAAGTATACAGCTTTTACGAAGCTAAAAGAATTCCAGAGGAAATTTTACATAAATAAAATGCAGAGATAAAGCTCCAAATGTTCTTAGAAACAATGAACAACACATATATGTAAATTTTTTAAATGTGCAGTATATTGTGTATATATTTACATGCAATATA